ACTAGTAGTAATAACCTACAATCGTTGCCAAAAAACCTTGGACCATAGAATGAATTGTCACCAGCTAACATTCTTCTCCTTTACTGCTTTCAAAATTGTCCCCCCAGTCCCTCTTTTATTATTGCTGGGTCTTGTTTTGGATGGTTTTGTACTATGGTAACATGCGCAGTGACAACATGCATTTAGGGAAGAAGCGGGATGAAATTGGTATTGCTTAAAATAACGAATGGCCAAAGCATTTTGGCAACGATTGTAGTCAGAGAAGATATCCATTTTTAATAGACTTCTGAAGTTTTACATCATGTACCGTATACGCAATGCATTGTAGGACATGTTTGGGACAGAACATGGTGGATTTCTTTAATTTTTTCGATAAAATGATCTCACAATGCATTGGAAATCAAGTAGTGACGTAAAAGGCTCAGGAGCATTTCTTATCTGACCAAACAGTGATAAAACATCTTATGCATCAGACTAAACCAAAGAAAGTTAAAGTGAAAAAGACCGTGCCCTTTCAAACCACTGAATACGACCTTAAACAAGATCTTCAGATTGAGCATGACCTTGAGGAAGAAGAGGAAGACCAGAGTTCCGACGAAGAGAGCGAGCAAGAAGAAGAGATATCAAAACTTAAAAAGGAAGGAAAAAAAGCCAAAGGGTGGCGTTCCCTTGCAATTTCGACTGCCTTTTCTGGAGGTGAGACAACTACTATGTCACTGCCGGACGAACTCCGTTCCTTTTGAGAACATATAAGCCGGGGCCATAATGAGGGAGCTAAACTGGGGGGTAAATGGGGGCATATAGCTAGAGATAATGCAGTTCGGTATACTACATGTAGTTCAATCAAGGTTTTACAAGCATTTCTAAATTAACTTTAAAGTATTTTGACCACACTTTTCGCTCCGCATCGACTATTTAAAATTCACTCCCTCAAATAGTTGGTGTGCTTCATAAGAAGGGGGGGTGTAAGAAGGGGGAGGGGGGTTAAATGCATGCCCGTGACTTGAAAGGGTAAGTGAGGCATGTTATGCGAAACGGTTGACACTTTTTGTAACAGGCTACAATGACGAAACCAGCGAGGAAGAAGAAGAAGAAGGCGATAAAACTGAGAAGGTRGTAATCCCATCTCTAAAGCAAATYAACAGACAACGCGATTTGGAAAGGGCAAATAATGCCGCTTCACACTTTTATGGCACAATCAAGAAAGAAACTACATCGACGACTACGAGTTCACCAACTGCAGCAAAAACGAGGCCAAACAGACCAAGGTATGAATAGATAGATAAATAGTGAACAGTGTGATGCAGATTCAATTGACAATTGGCTCCATGCCAATGTGTCTTGCATCGTATACTGGTTTTCTCCCACGCTTGTCTCCAGCCCGGATTTTTACGTCATAAAGGGTTAATGCAGTTTCACTTCATAAGTAGTCTCTATTCTTCACAAACTAGCTGTGGGATATKCTATGAGCTCMAAAAAGTCGATCTAGAAGTAGTGTCCAACTGCGGGGTCTCMCAGAGCAGGATTTCTTCTGCTACAAATAGGAAGAGCGAAACATCAATTGACTAKTTATGTAATATATGATAAAGTTACACCAGTGTGTTGCTTTCTGATTTMATTTTTTGAATATCTTTAAGGAACTTCCAGGAGTGCCTACATGATAACTCACAGTTCGCATGGTTTAAGTGCTATTTGATGGAGCAGTCATCGGACACTCCTCTGATGTTCTGGCAAGCTGTTGAAAACATGAAAAGCAACTGTAAGGATGCAAAGTCTCGYCAGGCTAGAGCGAACGTCATCGTTAGAAAATACTTCATCAACATAGATATACCAGCCAGTAAGTAGTGGTCGCAAAAAGTAAAGAGATTGGAAATTGTACAAGAAGTGTGGATAAAGCTATTCAYTTCATATAAAAGTTTTTKCATAGATTTTCTAAGCTGGATTCGACAGCGCTTTCGTACAAATCGACCCTGATAAGACCRTTTTTCATTATCATTTCCAGCTGAAAATCTACAATGTAAAGCCGATATCATCAAAGATATTCCAGTCATAGAGAAGGTCACCCCACCTATGTTACTTTCAGCCCAGGCCTGCGTGGCACGTACACTTGAGGAGGAATGGTAACWATACGATGCWYTTTTAAGAACTTTGACGTCTCGCAATCGTTGTGAAATGTTTTAAAATATTTGTTTTAGGTTCCGTAAGTATGTTGCAACATTTCCAGAGGAAGATGAAGGTGTCAATTTACAGAAATATGCCATGCGGAATACTCTCGCAGGAGTTTATAAAATGGCTGCCCATGGAAAAACGGTGGGTGTTATTCACAAAAATATTGGGATTATTGTGTTCTATAATAATGAAATGCCTGTGGATATATTACTCTTAGTGGAGGTTTCAGTGTGTCYATCCTTCTCTGGCTTATAAGTAAACTTAATGACAGGAAACGATTTTAAGAAAGTTAGCTCTATCCACGAAATAAACCTTTGTCCAGTGGATAAAATCTATACAAAAGTTTATGTAGCAGATTTTTCTTAATTTGGTGGATAACTTCCTTCCATCTTTCTTATCCTCGAACCTTTCTAATARTTTATCGCTCAAATGTTTTCCTTTCATTCAAAATATTTGGCAGCGTGGTTTATGGGCCATGTTTGCTTCAAACGTSATGAATTTCCAGAAAGGCATATACGACGCAAAGACCGTCCAGGAATTCATCACATTTCTTCACAGGGAGAAAGAGGCAACCATTGAACACAGTAAGTAATGATCTATTATTATAGTATCTGGTGATCCAATGTTTGATCTTCTGGAGGAAGCAAGCTAAACGATTTTGATTTTGATTTAAACATTTTATCTCAGATACTCGTCGTCATGCTCTCAATCCAACGAGGCGAATGATAAACAATAAGTTCATCAATACAGAGAAGCTGACTAACGATTTGGCTTTCTGGAAAGAAGTCGTAAAGTAGGTTTATAAAATATCTTATCGCGTTCAATCTTGCTATTTTTTGAGAGTTTTCGGATTATCTTTCGTCCTTTTTTTACATTTTTCGTCACAGCATTTTTCAGCACGTTTGCATAGTGGCGTTTTCATAATGTACATTTTCACAGAAAGCTCTCGAAGTTCTAGTGTGGAAGTTATAATTGCTATTATTATTTTTACTATTAGATTCAAGGAAGTAGCAGACAACGCAAATGAGTGCGCTAGACGTGGAAACTACAGCACAGACGATGAAATGCAAGTCATGAGTAAAGCTAAAACTATCGTGAAGGTGTTCCTCGACTCGGACCTTCCACCACGTACACAGGTAAAACCGGAATAACACATCTACAAAACTAGAATTGATCGTTTTCAAACATTCCCATTAGATTCCGAAGATGAAAGACTAGCGGCCATGTTCGGGAATGAAAAATAGATAATGAGAAATCCTTTGTTGAAGTTCCTCCAAGGTGACCGCTGTGAAAAGGAGGAAATCTTCAAATATTTTTATTTCGGTTTTTGCATTTTTACGTACTTTATCATAATTTAAATTTTATATAAAATTTTACGATGGACATCTGATAAAAACGTTAATACGTTCATTCATGTTTTGAAGATTAACATACCCAACGACCTTGGAGATGCAATCATCAATTTAGTGAATGCAGGGATTGTGGAACGAGGAATTTTCCACGACGCGCAACTTTCAGTTTTCATAACACTTATTCATTACTGGAAAAAGTAAGTCATTTACTGGAAAAAAAATACCAGTTAAAAGCAACTGCTTTAAAACCCACTTTTATCGTATTCTTTGCATGGTGGTCATGCAACCTTACTGACCAAAAAGAGCGGGAATTTCAAACGGTACGCGCCTCAGCCGGAATCTTTAGCCAAAAAAGGCGGGAAAAGCGGTGCGTCACCAATATCCACGCACGTTCTGCCAGATGGGAATCGGCGCTGGGTCCGAAACTTCCAGAATTTTGAACAAATAAAAATTGCTACTGATAACCTCGCAAAAATGAAGTTCTAAAATGTCTATATATTGAATTCCATTAATCATAAATCATTGAGATCAATTCAACGTTACATTGATTTGTTTTGTGAAATATTTCTCACGTYAGGTTTGCGGCTGAGCGGAAAAACAAGAAAGACGAAACGCCCAAGAATACTCCTTCGCCCAAAAAAGACGATCTCAAGAAAAAACGCATTTCTTTTATCGGTGGAGTCCCGTATAGACGTGTCTACGTCATGCAAGGTAAACCGGGTAGTCGGATAGTCTATGTAGTTGTTTCTCTCTACGTACATTTTGTATTTCATAATTTCTATCTATATTCAAGAATAGCTACGATCAAGAAAAAAAGCTTGACATCTTAAATGTCACCGAAAGATTGAGTTTCTACCGTAATTAAATGACTATCTATTTATCTCATTGTGTCTTCCCAGAGGAGGAAACGCGCTGGTCTTTCTCTTTCTATCAAGGTCTACGTCTAGCAATTCCCGTCAAACTACTCGCGCGAAGAGTCACACAAGGGGATGTTTTACCGCAAGAACTTAGCGGCACACCGCCTCCTGGTCAATAAATTCAAATAGTACATCCTTATATACAAATTTGAACTTGTAAAGAAATTAAAGTCAGTAATACTTGAGTGATTTTGTTATGATTTTGTATTAATTTTACTCATTGATGGTTTTTCTAGATGCCTATTTCATTGGTATTAAATGAAAATTATTTTCTTTATTAAAGAAATAAATCATACATCTAAAATGACAAAAAAACATAATCGACGCGCTATCATCAATAATCAATGTATTGATTATTTTTAAAACAATACAATGGAAAAGCATTAAGATTGCAGTGTGTCAGGCAAGAGAAAGAATCATTCCCTRACAAGACAAGGAAACAGCCACCTCCTTCACGGATATGCCTGCAGGTGATTATCGCAAAAGGATAACACAAGAAGATGCTCTCATGATTTTAAATCATAGTAAGAGAAAAAATCTATCATTCAAAACCATCCGTTGATCCTGTTAACTCTGTTGAAGTTCCCSMTTCCAGTCAAAGATAACTTGTTATTTCGAACCTCATTAAGTTTGGCATAGTTTATCGCGTACAGKCTCAATCAAAGCGCAAATGTRATCAATAATTCCCCAAAGAAATGCTTYCCGAATAAGKGTTTCTCATTGCAAAAGGAGCAGTCTTTCCATAACCACTTGTTTACAATAAGCTATTCCTGATAAACTATCAAGCCAGAGAAAAACTGAACAGTTTGTTTCCAATCTTGCACTTCACCTCMTCCACATCAAATGACAACAACTTTGGTGGTTTGGTGGCCATTGTGGATTCAAAGGCTGCCTGTAATTKAGATTCAGTTTTAGGCAATTTATAAATAATCTGAACCTCTCTCTTACAGACACCCAAAGGAAGGCAATGAAGCACAGTGCAATAGTCTTCTTCATGGTTCTCTGTCATATGGCTAACTTTTAAAATAGCACAAGGAAACCGTGAAGAAGTCTAATGTTGTTTCAATGTGTCGTTTGTTTGATATTCCTGCCTTGAAATCCTTTTAATGCCTCTAAACATACCCACCAAAAAGCCAAGAATAATATCTTTTCATGAATTTTAATTTCACCTGTAGATTTTCTTCATCTGTTTTGGTTATTTGGGTAAAAATGTCACCAAGACACCATGCAACACTCACATGGAATGATGGTTTCTAAATGCAATGATCAGAAATACYTTTGTCATTTTTAAGGCAATGAAAGGTTTTCTTCATCAGAACTCAACTATCAATCTTTCTTTCAGTAAAAGTAAAGTAACCCATGCCTTAACCATTTTACCATAGCATATTTTAGAGCAGAAAAAAGAAAATTAAAAAAACATAGCAGATTTTCAGTTTGGTGATAATGTGTCCTACCTCATAATATTTTGGTAATGAGAATCCACAAAAGATCTCATCCACAACAGAGGTTAGACCTTTTAGCTTTAGAAAATATAGTGGAAACATTAGACAATAATTTTTTTACATAGAAGCCAGAAGGGGGTTGATATTGCCATGACAGAGACCTTGTGAATAAAATATTGTTGCAGGGTGAAAAAAAGGTATTATAGTGATTGCATGCTGAGCTGTCCTAATTGCTCAGCATGCTTATATTTCAAGATGGCAGTTGGGATTATTAGTGAGAGTTTCTATGATATGAAGTTTAGAATATAAATAAATTTTACAGGAGCAATCCTACCTTTTCTTCTCCTGTGAAGATATTTAGCCCAAGAAAGGACCTTAAACAATTACAAAATAGAATCAGTTAACTAATATTTAAAAAAAAGGAACAAGAAACTATCTGTATTCCATTAAAGCCATGTCTTTCGCACTCCTAGTGGATCTCTCAATGAAAAACTGGATAGCAAGTGAGTGTGAGTGAGATAAGAGAGTAACTGAGAAGAACAATAATTATTGAGCTTTGTTATATTTGTATCAAACAATTCTCTCGTGTTCTGTCCATCTTTGTGTGTCCTGTTATACATTCAAATACTCATACCAGGGCTTGAATTKAGGGGAGGTCAAAGGAMRATGTYCTTCCAAATTTGCTAAATGTCCTGTCAAATTGGAATTTGAAARGACATATKTACCAGCTTGTACCTTGTTTTCTCATCATTGACATATAACTGTGGTCTGTCTATTACACAATTAAACCT